ATTAGCCGGGTGTGGTAGCGCGCACCTGTAGTTCTGGCTACTTGGAAGGCTGAGGCAGAAGGATTGCTGGAGCCCAGCAGGTCTAGGCTGCAGTGGCCGGGAGCATGTCACTGCACTTCAGTCTGGGTAACAGAATGAGACTCCAACTCTAAATAAATAAATAAAAATAGGCCAGGCTCAGTGACTTAGCCTATAATTCCAGCACTTTGGGAAGCAGAGGTGAGTGCGTTACCTGAGCCCGCAGGTTTGAGACCAACCCAGGCAACTTGGCAAGACCTTGTCTCTACAATAAATAAAAGATTAGCCGGGTGTGGTAGTGTGTGCCTATAGTTCCGACTACTTGGAAGGCTGAGGTGGAAGGATCGCCGGAGTCCAGCAAGTCGACACTGGAGTGGCCGTGAGTATGCCACTGCACTCCAGACTGGGCAACAGAGTGAGACTCCAATTCAAAAAATAAAAATAAATAAAATTAAAAAATAAGTGCTGCTGGACCTGCAGGTCTGTGTGGAGCCATGAATGGGGGTCTCTGTCCCTTCCCAAAAGAAACAGGATGGAGTCTGTTAAAGTTGTCAAGAATTAAGGCCTACTTTAAGAGATACCAAGTGAAATTAGAAGATGACGAGAGCCGGGCTCGGTGGCTCAGCCTGTAATCCCGCGCCTTTGGGAGGCTGAGGTGAGTGGATTGCCTGAGCCCGCGGGTTCGAGACCCGCCTGGGCAGCAAGACCTCATCTCTACAATAAATCAAAAAATCAGCCGGGCGTTTTAGTGCATGCCTGTAATTCCGGCTACTCGGAAGGCTGAGGCGGAAGGATCGCCTGAGCCCAGCAGGTCGAGGCTGCGGTGGCCGGGAGCGGCCACTGCACTCCAGTCTGGGCGACAGAGTGAGACTCCAACTCAAAAAAAAAAAAAAAAAAAGAAGATGACGAGAGAGTAAAACTGATTACTGTGCTCGGAAACGCTTGGTGATACAGGATAAAAATAGGTACAACACACCCAAATACAGGATGATAGTTTGTGTAACAAACAGAGATATCACCTGTCAGATTGCTTAATGCCCATATAGAAGGGGATATGATAGTCTTTGCAGCTTATGCACATGAACTACCAAAATATGGTGTGAAAGTTGGCCTGACAAATTATGCCTGCAGCATATTGTACTGGCCTGCTGCTGGCCCGCAGGCTTCTCAACAGGTTTGGCATGGACAAGATCTATGAAGGCCAAGTGGACGTGAGTGGAGATGAATACAAAGTAGAAAGCACTGATAGCCAACCCGGTGCTTTCACCTGCTGTTTGGATGAAGGCCTTGCCAGATCTACCACTGGGCAATAAAGTTTTTGGGGCCCTGAAGGGAGTTGTGGATGGAGGCTTGTCTGTTCCTTACAGTACCAAACGATACTCTGGTTTTGATTCTGAAAGCAAGGAATTTAATGCAGAAGTACAACGCGAGCACATCATGGGCCAGAACGTTGCAGAATACATGCGTTACCTAATGGAAGAAGATGAAGATGCTTTTTTTTTGAGCTGGAGTCTCACTCTGTTGCCCAGGCTGGAGTACATTGGCATGCTCAAGGCCACCGCCGCCTTGACCTACTGGGTTCAGGTGATCCTTCTGCCTCAGCCTTCCAAATAGCTGGAATTACAGGCATGCGCTACCACACCTGGCTAATTTTTTGATTTATTCTAGAAATGAGGTCTCACCAAGTTGCCCAGGCCAGTCTTGAACCTGTGGGCTCAGGCAATCCTCTCACCTTGGTCTCCCAAAGTGCTGGGATTATAGGCATGAGCCACTGCATCCGACAGATGAAGATACTTTCAAGAAGCAGTTCTCTCAGTACATAAAGAACAGTGTGACTCCAAATATGGAGGAGGAGACATACAAGAAAGCTCATGCAGCTATATGGGAGAATCCTGTCTGTGAGAAGAAGCCCAAGAAAGAAGTGAAGAAGAAGAGGTGGAATCATCCCAAAATGTCCCTTCCCAAAAGAAAGGTTGGGTAGCTCAAAAGAAGGGAAGCTTTCTCAGAGCTCAGAAGCAGGCTGCCAAAAGTTGAACCAAACAGTTTTCTATGAGGATATTTCAGATAAAGACAATAAACATGTTGACCAAGCAAACAAAAGTAAAAATAAAAATAAACAAAGGACAATGTATAGCTCATCAATAGCATATGTCATTTTAATGTAAATTCTTGGTTAACAACCTCAGTTCAAACTCTCTTTTCCTTTAAAAACCCATTTGAAATTGCTGCTAATCAGAGTCTACACTAAGAGTAACTTGAATCTGTGCTCCCGGGTTGCAGTCCTCAAACTTGGCCCAATAAACTTTCTACTTATATTACTCTTGCCTCAGTTTTTTCTTATAGGCTGACAGTCTTAAATGATCACAGCCATCCCCCTGGAAGATAGCCCCTGAAGCCCACTTACACCTCTGTCCCTCTCATCAGTACCAAGTCCTTGGATTCCCAGCTTGGAGCACCACACCCAATACTGGGAGGAGTAAGCCATTGTTCTCTCTGTCTCTGCAGCTTGTTCCTAACACCCGGATGCAGCTGTCTCAGGCCAGTTTTAGGGGAGGTCTGGAGGAAGCCTGCTCAGTTCAGTTTTCTCCTTGAACCTCTCCCTCAGAAGCTCTCACTGAAGCCCCTGACTAGCCCATCCACCTTCCTTGGGGAAGGGGAAGTGTGGACAAGGGGCGGGAGTCAGTGGTGAGGAGCTCTGGAGAGAAATAGCCAGTTTCTTTCCTTCCAGGGAAAAAGGCTCTGGACAGCCCTGCCTTGGATGGAGAGGGGGACATGCAGCAGATCCAAGGACTGGACTCATTGCTGGGCAGAAGCCACCATCTTGGAAACTGGCCAGGAGAAGGAATCAGATCCAAGGCAGAGCCCCTTGGGGAGGGGATCCTCTCATACTTTCAAATTGCTGGGATTCCCACCCAGACACCACTTGAAAGTTTTCAGGGACCAGGCCTGCCTCAAAGGAAAGGTTGAGAAAGAAGCAGCCTTTGTTCATCAGCCCATACAGTGTGGCAAGTAGGTAGCATGAGCGACAAATTAACCAGGCTCAGAGGTTAGATAACATACCCAAGGTCATGTAACCAGTAGGTGGAAGAGCCAGGGCTGTCACTCAGGACAGTCTTGCTTCAAAGTTCTGGCTCCTTCCCGTCAGGCAAAACAGGATCTGATGTGTAACAGGCCTGGGTGTTGGGTGGCAGGAAAGCAGGATACATGTGACCAGATCAGAAAAAGCAGGGGACAGAGGTTCAGGAGCACTCTTCAGCATGGCCCTTGCACCCTGAATAGTGATCACCTTGATTTATCTGTTCCTCCTACTAAGCTGCAAGTCCCTGGAAGGTTGAGGATAGAGTCCCAAGGCCTCTAGATCCACAGCACCCACGAGGTACTGTTCGCAGGGATATTTGCTGAATGCTTCAGTCCTGAGGCTTCCGAAGGGGACAGCAGGACAGAAATCAGGCAAAACCACCACAGTCAGCAGGTAAGGGTACAGACACAGGAAGTGGAAGGGACGAGAAGGAGTGAGGCCATGCTCAGGACATCATCTCTCTGGATAAATGCGTCTCCATATTACACAGAGAAGATCTGAGGCCTGGTGCCCCCATGCTCAGAGGTCACAGGCCTATAGCAGGTGAGTGATCTGTTTTGTTTATATACAAAAAAATCAAAGGTCAGAAATGTTGCCATGTGGTCTGATATGGCCTGATTTTGCGCGATAAAATAAATGTGCTTTCGGGGGTAAGAGCTAACCTTCCTTAGAGCTCTCCCAGCCCAAGGGGGCACCCAGGAGTCCACAGGAGAGGCTTGGAAGCTGGGGGCTGAGGGAGAGCTGAACTTGCCTAGGGAGGCACTGGGAAGCAGTGAGTGACAGAGTGACAGAGGACCCAGCCCTCGTCATCCCAATTCCATCTACTGGCCAGTCTGAACTCACTGGGTTTTCTCAGGAAATCAGTGAGCGATGTTAACGCACCGCATGCTTTCTAGCTTTCAGGAACCAGCAAGTTCAAAACGAACTCAGTGCTCTTGCCTAGAGGAGTGTGCATCTCCCGCCAACTCCGCCCACCCAACTTTACAAAAATGTACACACCAAGGCTAGTTCCTTGAGACAGCCCTGTTCCGGCTTCCTCTCCCTCTCCCCCTGCCCAGGCCCACACCCCGTCTGATGTTGGAAGCAGGGTCCTGACCACAGACTTATAATCCTGGCCCAGTTGGGTGGCAGGACAGGCCCAGGGTGTGCAGGCCTCCCCGCTGCCACTGGTGCTGAAGCTAGGGCCACTGACAGCTGCGATGCGAGCACACTCTACCTAACCGAGGCATGGTCACATCTGCCGCCTCACCTGGGGTCCTCCCGAGGACTGGGGACACCAGGGAGGCAACTTTACTTATTGCACAGCTGCAGAAGCAGCAGACCTACTGGGAACCCTCATCTCAGCCTTCCAGCCTCAGTTGCACTCCTTGCACTGAGGAAACAGGCCTAGGGGTAAAGTAGCAAGGAGCACAAACCGGGTTAGCCTGTGGCTGATGGAGATGGAGGGCACTGCTAAGTTTAGTGGCCTGGTTGGGGGAGACGGGGGCAGGTGCCCAAGTTTATTCCTGAAGGGATTCCAGCTCAGAGGCAGTGTCCGGGGGAGCAGAGTCCAGGCCTTGGCCCTTGCCCCTCTGGTTCAGGATAGACGTCTGAAAGCCCACCCTCCTGGCCTTCTGTGTGCCCCTAGGGGAAGAATCTACAGTCCTGGACCAGAACTCAGAGTCAGAGCAGGGCCGCTGCAGCCCCCAGCCAGAAGCCCCAGGCCGCTGGGCCAGACCAGCTTTTCCTGTGGCCCAGGTGCTGGGGGTTGGAGGAGCAAGGGGCGGGCGACCACTCCCCAGGGCGCGCCTTCCAGAGCTGGGGCAGCAGCGAGCCTTCCGGGGTCGGCTCCCAGCGAAGCCCTGCGGGACCCCCAAGTTCCTCTCCCGGGGGCTGCCCCGCCCCCCTCCTCCCAGGCCCGTACCTGAGGGGCCGGACACCCTGCAACCTCGCTTCCTGCCAACTCCGAGAGAGGAGCGCCCGGGCCCCCAGCGCCCCCGGGCTCCCGACGCACAGCCTCCCCAGGCGCAGCATCCCGGCGCGGACAGCCAAGGCTCGCTTCGCCCCGCGTACCGGCCGGAGGAAACTTTTAAAGCGAGCCGAGGCGGGGCGAGAGCCGAGCAGGCGGGGAGGCGGGGAGGGCAGCCTCTGCCTATGGGGTGCGGAGGACTCGGTCCCGGCGGGCGGGGCGGGGCGGGGCCCGGAGGTGGCGACTCTGCGCCGAGCCACCTTCCCCTCGGACCCTGGAAGGATCGTCCGGCTTTCCCTCCGGGTCCGAAGGTCCCGGCTGCAGCCCAAGACCAGCCCAAGACAACCACCAGGAGCCTGCATGTCGGGGGCGCTCAAGTTTGTTGATTTCAAAGAAACAGAGCCAGCGGAGCGTGGATGCGGGCCCTGATGGCCAGACCACGACCCGGCCAACCCCTGCGCCCCGTTTAGCGCGCAGGTCACGTGCCGGCCCCCGGGTTTGCGAGCCAGAGGCCAGAGGAGCCGGCGAAGCGCCCCTGCGGCGTGCCAGCTGGAGCAGAGAGCCTGCGGGGGGCGGGGAGGCGCCGGGACAAAGGGTGTCGCGGGCGAGCCCCCCTCTGGGAGCGAGGCCCGGCTGCAGCCAGATGTCTGCTTCCGAAGGGACGCGGCATCCTCTCCTCCCTCCCCCCGACGCTGCTTGACCTCCTGGTAGGGCTGGTGGCCGGGCGCCCTGAGGTGGCCTCAGGGACTGGGACCTGTGCATTTCACCCCCGCTCCCCACCCACGTCTGTCTTCTTTAGCTTGGGGCTTGAGGCATAATTCCCTGCTGCTTCCCTAGGCTGGTTGGAAAGCAACTCTAGGCACCTCCTAGGATCCCCTGAGGCCGGGGTGCAGATGGGATACTAAGACCTGGATGGAGCTACAGGACAGAGAGAAGGTGCCTGTCCTTCTTTGGTCCTGGCTGGGAAAGGTAGCACTGGGTGCCAGAGAATGGCACAGTGTATACTATTCCAGGTCTGTGCTGTCGTGGCCTAGCCTTGACCGTTCCTCCAGAGGAGCTGGAAAAGAATGGAGGAAAGGCCCTGGCAGGGTGACCTCTCCTCTCCTGGTCTGGAGGAGATGAAGTCAATCCGTCAGACCAAGGGGGTGGCTGGGGCGGGGCCTGGCCTAGGAGACCTTTGCCCTCATCTGGGAACTTCAGCTCAGTTGTGATCCTGGAAAGGCGACCACACTGCTCCTCTTGAGAGTGACCTCAAATCCCTCTAGGCCCCTGGCTCCTGGGGAGGGTCCCTTCACATTGTGAGAAGTTGGGGCAGGGGCAAAACAAAGCATTCTGCGCGGGTTCGAGACCCACCTGGGCAGCGAGACCTCATCTCTACAATAAATCAAAAAATCAGCCAGTTGTTGTAGCGCATGTCTGTAATTATGGCAACTCGGAAGGCTGAGGCGGAAGGATCAACGGAGCCCAGCAGGTTGAGGCTGCGGTGGCCGGGAGCGGCCACTGCACTCCAGTCTGGGCGACAGAGTGAGACTCCAACTCAAAAAAAAAAAAAAAAAGAAAAGCTGGGCTTGCAAGGGCGTGTCTTCCTAATTAGACTAATGCACTGACAGACAGCCCTGGGAATGTGGGTTACTAGGGAGTATCCCAAGTCTGGGATCCCAGCCCTGCCTAGCAGGTTCAACCACTAGCTTGCGGGGTGACCCTAGATAAACGATTGCCCCTCTCCAGTCCTGTGAAGCAAGGAGTAAATACTGTTCTTGTAGGTCCCTCCACTCTCCTGGCTAGTCTGAGGGTCGGTCCTTGTGGGATGGGGAGAAAAATGAATTCCTCCTTGAACTTTGCTCCAGCCTTGGCTTTTAACATTGGGCTTTCCCCGACTCTTCCCAGGCACACATGCTACTGGTTTCAGGATACTCCCCACATGCCAGGTTCTTTGTGTACCTTATCTGTGGCCATGAAACACCCTGTAAGGAACAGGCATGGCTTGCAACATGTCTCTATTTCTATGGACGAAGTAACTGAGTCCCAGAGAGGTTCAGCCCCTAATGCACAGGCCAAAGGCTCTGCCCACAGTCACTTTGTGGCTTTGGGCAAGTCAGGGGGCCTCTCCAGCCTCAGTCATTATCTATAAAATGGGGATAATAATACCAACTTCAAGCAGAGGACGGGGTGAGTAGGTGGTGGAACTGGCGGTCGGCCAGCTTTCAATAATTGTTTCTTTTTCTACCCTCTCCTTCCGCCTTTGTCTTCTCCCAGACCTTCCTCTGTTAGGAATTGCAAACCCTTTTTTTAGGAGGAAGAATGATTTTTCATCTTCACAAACCCCTAAGATGCTGGTTCTATGGACAGGGAGGTGGGCTGGGAGAGAGGCAAGTCAAGATGGCTGGCGTAGGAGTCCTTGCGTCAGGGTAGCAGGATCATGCTGATTCAGGATTCTTGGGCCAGTATAGGGAAGTGGGGAGCAGGGCACGCAGACTACCCAAGCCCTCCAACTTCCCTTCTCCTCCCTTCAGACAACTCAATTCCTCAATCTTCTCCAAGGGGCTTTCTGCCTGAGCCAAACACATCTGCCTGCCGCACGTGACTTGCATGAGTTATATGGTTTGTGATTTTGCTCATGCCATTGGCTAGCGTGAGAAAGCCCTTAAGCCCGCCCCTTTGCCAATATCCTTTCCTTCCGTGCTTCAAAAATGGCCTCAAAAGGTAAACACCACTTATTGATTTTTTTGTGTTTTAATTCTTAGCATCAACCTATGAATATCGTCCAGAAGATTAATCACAGGGAACAGAAAGTAAATGTTACTAATCTTGGAAGTTACACTTGATGGCAGTTGAGAGATAAGGGGCAGGGGAGAGTATACAATAAAAATAAAGGAATATGTTATTTATGTACAAAAATAATAAAACCATATATTAGGAGGACTTAGGGATGACAGGGGTGCAAATTCTCACCCAGCAAACAGAAAATCAAGAAATGGCAGAATATAAATATATTGTTTAGCGTTAAGCAGCAGAAGACAATAAATACGAAAATGGTTAAAATAGTTTAAATGGGCCTGGCACAGTGGCTCAAACCTGTAATCCCAACACTTGGGAGGCTGAGGCAAGAGGAGTGCCTGAGTCCACGGGTTCGAGACCTGCCTGGGCAACTAAGCATGACTGGGCGTGGTGGCACACACCTATAGTTCCAGCTACTTGAAAGACAGAGATGAAAGGATTGCCTGAACCCAGCAGGTCGAGGCTGTGGTGGCCGTGAGCGTGCCACTGCATTCAAGCCTAAGTGATAGAGTGAGACGCCAACTAAAATTTTTTAAAAGTTCAAATTGTTCCCTTTGGACTGAAGTAGACATTTCTCAAAGAAGACATACAGATGGCCAATAAGCACATGAAAAGATGTTCAACATCACCAGTCATTAAGGAAATGCAAATAAAAATCACCAGATACCACATCATACCCATTAGAATGGCTATGATTAAAGCAATAACAATAACAACAGAAAATAAGTGTTGGTGAGAATGTGGAGAGAAATTGAAACCCTTGTGCATTGCTATTGGGAATGCAAAATGGCACAAAGGGAGAGGCCATGTCGGAGAATGATATAGTGTTTCCTCAAAAAAATAAAAATAAGCTGTAATCCATTACTTTGGGAGGCTGAGGTTGGAGGATCAGTTGAGGACAGCAGTTCGAGGCCAGTTTGGGCAACATAGCAAGATCCCATTTCGACAGAAAAAAAAAAAGCCGTATGTGGAGGCTCTTATCTATAGTCTCAGCTACTCAGGAGGCTGAGACAATGCAATTGCTTGAGCCCAGGAGTTCAAAGCTGCAGTGAGCTATGATTGTACAACTGTACTTCAGCAACAAAGTGAGAGACTGTCTCTAAAAAAAAAAAAAAAAACGTAAGCAAGAAAAGAAAAGAATAGGTGTTATGATCCAGCAAGTCTATTTCTGGGTACATACCCTCAAAAATGAAAGTATGGACTCAAGCAAACATTTGTACACCAAGACCAGGCATAGTGGTTCACACCTGTAATCCTAGCATTTTGGGAGGCTGAGGTGGGAGGATTGCTTGAGCCCGGCAATTAGAGACCAGCCTGGGCAATATAGTGAGCCCTTGTGTCTACAGAAAAAAGCGTGGTGGCATGCGCCTGTAGTCCCAGTTACTAGGGAGGCTGGAGCAAAAGGACAGCCCGAACCCAGAAAGAAGAGGCTGCAGTGAGCTGTGATAGTGCCACACTGCACTCCAACCTGAGCAGCAGAGTGGGACCTCAATTCAAAAACAAAACCAAAAGGAAAACATTTGTACACCAGTGTTCATAACAAAATTATTCACAATAGCCAAAAGGCAGAAACAATCCAAATGTTCATCAGTGGCTGAGTGGATAAACCAAATGTAGTGTATCCATACAATAGGGTGTTATTCAGCCTTAAAAAGGGAGGAAATCCTTATGTGCTACAACACAGATTCACCTAGAAGACATTATGCTAAGCGAAATTGCCTACGCACAAAAGGATAACTACAGAGTAATCACATTCACAGAGACAAAGTAGAATGGTGGTTCCCTGGGGGTGAGGTGGGAAATGGGGAGTTATTGCTTGGTTATGGGTATAGAGTTTCTATCTGGGAAGATGAAGTTTTGAAGCTGGATGGTGGTGATGGTTGCGTAACAATGTGAATGTACTTAATGTCACTGAACTGTATACCTAAAAATGGTTAAAAAGGTAAATTTTATTTATGTCTACTTTACCATCATTTTTTTTTTTTAAATTTCTCTCCAGAGGCTGAGGCAGGAGGATTGCTTGAGCTTGGGAGTTCAAGGCTCAGTGAAGCCGGGCTCGGTGGCTCAGCCTGTAATCCCGCGCCTTTGGGAGACTGAGGTGAGTGGACTGCCTGAACCCGTGGGTTCGAGACCCGCCTGGGCAACTTGGCGAGACCTCATCTCTACAATAAATCAAAAAATTAGCCGGGCATGGTAGCGCGCGCCTGTAGTTCCAGCTACT